CTTTGTTTAAGCCTATAGAGAGCTTTATGCATATACGAGGTGTTCTTGGCCTGGAAGGACAAAACCTTGAGGCTGTGCCACATACACCTCCTCCTCAAGATCACCATTGAGGAATGCTGTGCGCACATCGAGTTGATAGAGCTCAAGATCAAGCTCGGCTGTTAAAACCAGAAGCAAGCGGATGGTGGTTAGCTTAACTACCCGACTGTAAGTGTCAGAATAGTCAACTCCCTGAATGTGCGAGAAGCCACAAGCGACAAATCTGGCTTTGAATCGCTCCACACTCCCATCCGCCTTGTACTTCCTTGCTCTTCTTTAAAGAGCCACTTGGAGCTCACAACTTTCCTTCCTGGTGGCAATGGCATGAGAGTCCAAGTGTCATTTTTAAGCAAAGAAGAATACTCATCTTGCATCACATCTTGCCACTTTTGGGCGTCAGGACTGGCAAGAGCGTCCATATATCCTTAAGGCTCAGGAAGGCCTTGCATTGCCCAGTAGAATCCTTTCTGTCGTGGTTCCTGGGCAATGGCCTCAAGCACTTTGACTGAAGGCTTGGTTACACGTCCAGAGCGTCGTGGACCAAAGACCTGTGGAGGTGGAGGAGTCATCACGGGGTCAACGGCCTGGGTGGATGCTTGATGAAATATTTCATCGCCTAAAATGTCGTCGACGATGGCAACAAGCGAGGGCTCAGCTGAAGAAGTGGGACTGCTGGTGGAAGCAGTAGAAGGTGCAAGAAGTGGCGTGTGAGGAGGAGATCCCACCTCCAGCCACCAAGGGCACTGCTCGGCCAGGATCTTGTGGGCCTTGGTTGTTAGCTCCTCCTGGAGGAAAATTCTCTGGAGCTGGGAGCGAAAGAGGAAGCACCTCATCCAGAACCAAAGAAAGATCCACAAGATCAGTTGAATGGCTTGAAGTACCTTCGAGGCGATACAGCTCTTGCTCGTTGAAAATCACGTCGCAGCTCACTACGGATTGTAGAGCCGGTAGGCCTTAGCCCACGAAGATGGTCTTCGTGCTGCGTGGGTCGAGCTTGCGCCTGTTCGGATTAGGGATGCGGGCGTACGCACTGCACCCAAAGATCCGGATGTGCCCTCAATTTGGACGTTTCCCAGTCCAAACGTGATGCGGGATCAAGCCTGTGCTCCGGGTGGGCAAACGGTTACGCAAGTACACCGTCGTGTTCACTGCTTCTCCCCAGAAGCTGTGTGGCAGTCCGGAATGCAGAAGAAGGCAACGCACCATATCCAAGAGCGTCCGATTAAACCTCTCAGCCACACCATTCTGCTGTGGTGTATAAGCAGCCGTGTACTGATGAGGAATTCCTGCCTCAGCTAGGAATTGGAGAAATCCTTGTGCAATGTATTCTCCTCCTCCATCTGTGCGTAGCACACTGATTTTTCTTCCTGTAAAATTTTCTGCCCAGCTTTTGAAAATTTTGAAGTTTTAAAAAACTTCGGATTTGTTAGCTTGCTGCGAGCAAGGTTCTGGAGATCCTTCTCATTTACATGCCCGAGACGAGCATGCCAAAGATGAATTGTCTCTTGGCCTCGAAGCGCTAGCATGTATGTCCCTGGATAAACAAGCTCTGCGTTGAGGCGATAGAGTGTATCGTACCTCACTGCCATCTGCTCCAAAAATAGTACATCCTTCTGCAAAGAATGTGAGCGAGAACCCTTGATCGGAGGCGACGCCAACCGAAAGGACAGTCTGGCCTGCACCGGGCACATGTTATGGATTTTCCTTGAGAGATCCATTGGGCAACTTGACTTGCACCATGCCACGGCCTTCAACGTCGAGAAGTCGCTTGTCTCCAACAAAGACTTGTTTTGGGGAAAGCAATTCGTGGAAAGTGTGGAATGCTGTACGAAGAGGAGTCATGTGGTAAGAAGCACCACTGTCCAACCAGAGGACGTCTAAACCAGACACCAGTGACGAGGCCACGGCCATCAGCAACGTCTGTTTGAGTCAGCATCCGTTGGGTGTTTGCTTTCTTAGCTCCACATTCTCGCTCTATGTGCCCCATCTTCCCGCAGAAGGTACACGGCCCCTTCTTTTTCTTGTTTCCATTTGTGATGGAGGCAAATCCGCGAGAATTCCCACGCTTCTTGGCATTTCCATTTCCTGACTTCTTGCCAATGAACAAAGCCTGATCACGAGCAGAATCTGCGGAGGTCGTGCCTGATTTTCGCTCCAGAAGCTTGCGCTCTTCTTCCAAGAGATTGGAATAGAGCTCGTCTAGGGTCTTTCCTGGAACGAAGGAGAACATAGAGGAAGACGGTTGGAGTTCAGAAGAAACCGAATAGAGAAGGAAAGCTTTGGCATAATCGTCCGAGACAGGCGCGCCAGCCTCCTTAAGCTCTTGCATCATCCCCCTAAGCTTGCCAATGTACGATGCCATCGTGTCTGTTGGCTGCATCCGGAGAGAAAGGAACTTCTGGGTTAAGGACGATCTTGGCATTTGCTGCTTTCGCAGCAAACACCTTCACCAAGGACTACCAATTCTCGTGAGCGGTCTTCGAGAGATCCAGCAGATGGATGAACTCGTCGCCGAGTCCTAAGCCAATGACAGAGCGGGCTCTTCTATTCTTGGCTTTCCACACTGGCTGGAGAGCGGGCTCAGCTGGTTCAGCTTCGGTGCCGTCCACGATTGTCCAGCAATCGTTTGCCATCAAGATGAGCTGGACCTTTGTTCTCCAGGTTGCGAAGTTTTCTCCTGTGAATTTGTGTAGTAGCCAGGGGTTACAGCAGCGGAAGAAGATGCCATCTAAAGTTAGCACTAGAAACAGAAATTTTATTGACGGGAGTGAGACGCGGGGAAAGTGCACACGCGGCTACACTGTGGGCAAAGCTGCTCGTGGCGTTTCGGAGAAGCATTAAGTCATGGTCACTCCGAAGGAGGTACTCTTAGGCTGATTGATAAACCATAAGTACGGAGATTCCATGAAATGGTGTTTAAGAAGCATGAATCCAAAAGGTATAATAAGCATGCCTGATGAGTGAGGCGCAACAGAACTACGTCTCTACCGTCGTTGTCATCACCCTGCTTCATTGCCACGCTTGGCCCGTTCACTTTACTGGTTTGCCGTCAAAATGGTCCAAACTCAGAGTAAACTGATGTAGAAGGAAGTTTAGCTTTTCTTTGAAAAATGTTTCAAATTGAAAATAAAAGCTCCTGGCCAAAACTTTGAAAGAAAATTAATGTAACTCAAGGATGAGACTTGATAAACTCCTCACTAAAAGTCCACAGCTCTGCAGCCAACTTCATGTCCTTGGCATGAGGGGTGCAATCCGCTTCGTTGCAATCCAAGTAGTACTTTCCACTCACGCCCTCCATGCAAGGATGGACCGCAAGAAGCATGGTTGTAGCAGCGCCCTGAAAGAAATCACAGCTTTAATCCAGAAACGTAGGCTATGATATGTTTGTACCTGCGGGATGGATTTGCAAAGTGGGCTCGCGAGGAAGAGAAGCAGCTCTGCACAGCAGCACAAGTTGATCAATCTCAATTCTTTTCAGATACTGTTTCATGAACTTACTAGCTGAAGTCTGGTTGAAATCTCTTCCAAGGTTCGTCTTGATAGTTCCAGGATGAAGTGAATTTACAAGCACGTTGGCACCCTTCTCCTGAAATGGAAGATCATCAAAATTATGTCTGGGAAAACTCGAGCACAAAAACTTTGAATCTATGGACACCTTCAAGCGGCTTGCTAACTCCCTGGTATGCAGTATGTTGGCCAGTTTGGATCTTCCGTAGCTAGTAATCCATTGGAAGCTGTACGACGAGAGTTAAAGAAAGTTCATTGGAAAGATTGCAAGGAAAACCGAAATGCTTCCTCCTACTTGTCAATGAAAAAACTGACCTGTTCTTATCATTCAGCTTGTCAAACTCAATCCCGCCTTTTGGAACATATCTGTGACCTTCAGACGCCACCATGACAATCCGACCTTGCACTCCAGTTTGAGATGCAGTCTGGATCATCTTGTCCAACAGCAGCTCAGTGAGCAAAAACGGACCTGGATCATCATCCAAAGCGTGAAGGTTTTTCTAACAGACAAAACTTGAACACCATACCCATATGGTTTGTCGCGAAATCGAGCTCCAAGCCATCCGGTGAGAGCTGGAAGTTATTGGCCGTCATCCCAGCATTGTTTCTGCATTGATCCATGCATTTTGATCAGAAACACTAACAGGAGTGACTCACATGAGGATGTGGAGCGGGAGATTTAGAGCCTTGAAGTCGTCGACAAATTTCCTGACCGACTTGAGGGAGCTCAGATCCAGCTCAAGAACAGTGACCCTTGCATTAGGGAATTCGCGTTGGATCTTGGACTTGGCTGCTTCAGCGTTCTGTAGCTTCCTGGCTGGGATAACAACGTGCGCACCGTGCTTGGCGAGAACTCTGGCAGTCTCAAACCCAATTCCGGAGGTAGCCCCTGTAGCTTGATGATGAGAAATCGAAGCAAACTATCGATGGAATCGGCATACCTGTGACGATTACCACTTTGGATTCCAGAGAAATCCCCTTTGCAACTTTCTCGGCTGTAGCTCCCGATCCAAAGCCTGTAGCGCCGCGGTATCCGGTGAAGTAGCTTATCACGCCCATGATTCCTGGATTGCTTGCAAAGACTTGTGACTTTGATCCCGAGACGGCTGCTTAAATACATTCCTGGCCAGCTTGACCGACGCGCAAATGTGACATCCACGAAAGCGCTTAGAGAAGATTCTGAAAGATTCGGTCAATTTGGAATGGTGGTTGTTATCTTGGCCTTGTTCATTGCTCAAACAACACGTCGACTGACGTACATAATGTCCATGCATGACTTTGATATCTCAGCGTGTGAAAAGTCGCCTGGGCGCCATTGCTCGAATTTTCAGCCTCTAAAGAACATGTCAATGTCAAACCCAGCGAGCGAATGAAAACCGCGGCTTCCAAGTGATATATAAATGGTTGCTTGCAGTGCCAAAGTCATTGACAAAGCTACATCTCGAGATCGATCAGCAAAAGAAAGCATAGCTCTCTTTCTCTCAGCCCTGTAAAGGTTCTTCAAGGATGATAGCGATACTATCGATATTCTTGGTCGTTCTATTTGCTCCCGGCCATGTCCACTCCAAGTGTATAGCGGGCGAGCTGTGCTGGCCAGACGCACAGACCTGGGCATCCTTCAATCGCTCCGTGGGAGGGAGAATGATCAGCGTGGCCCCTCCAGCATCGCCATGCCATGATCCAAACTACGACGAGCGAGCCTGCAACGCCGTGAGGAGCGGCTGGAACAGTCCGTTCTGGAGGACCGATCAACCGGGTGCATTGCAACGGACGAGCTGGGAATCGTTTGGGGAGCAGCGCTGCCTGATCTCCTCCAACAGGACCGCCGCTTGCTTCCAGGGCGCGGTCCCGATCTACGCGGTCAACGTTACTCGGGCGGCCCACGTCCAAGAGGCCGTCAAGTTTGCGTCCCGGCACGACTTGCGCATCGTGATACGAAACACGGGGCATGACTTCCTCGGGCGGAGCACGGCGGTGGGAGCTCTCAGCATTTGGGTGCACCACCTCCAGAAGATCCAGTTCCACGAGAGCTTCAAATGCGGCCGTGGTAGCGACCGTGGCTACTCGGCAGTGACGGTGGGAGCTGGAATTCAGTGGGAGGAGCTCTATCGGCAAGCGTATCAACGAAAGATGATCCTGGCTGGCGGGGGATGTTCCTCGGTTGGAGCAGCCGGCGGATACCCTCAAGGTGGCGGCCAAAGTTTCCTTTCCCCGCTAATTGGCTTGAGCGCCGATAACGTTCTCGAGTACGAGGTGGTGACCGCGGATGGTAGGCTTGTCAAAGCAAATGCATGCCAAAACACGGACTTGTTCTGGGCTCTCCGGGGTGGCGGCGGAGGAACATTCGGAGTTGTGCTCTCGGCGACGCACAGGACTTTTCCAGCTCTTCACACCCTCGTCTTCGCTCCTCACAACTTCAGCGCCCCCGATACCACCACCTTTCAGGGGCTGCTCACTCTGTTTACGAGGTTGAATCCCTCTCTGTCCGATGCCGGCTGGTCTGGCTACTTCTTCTCGACAAGCCAGAGCCTGACGCTAACGTTCCTGCTGCCCAACCGGAACGTCTCGTATGCTTCCGCCACCTTGGCCCCGCTGCTATCGTACGCGCGGGAGAACAACATCCGGATCGACGGGAGCTTGGAGACGTATGCCTCGTACTGGGACTGGCACTTGCAGTTTCAATGTGGAGGGCAGGAATCGTGCTTGGGCCTCAACAACTTGGGAGTCTCGGATGTCTTCGCAACGAGGCTGATCCCGAGATCGCTCTTCAACCACGAACAAGACCTCCTCCCAAAGGCCATGATGCGCGTCATGACCGAGCTGCAAGTTCCAGCTACATATGCGATCCTGGGGGGCGGAAAAGTGCGAGAACCCCAAGACAGCGCTGTGAATCCGGCGTATCGCGACGGACTGTGGCTGCTCGTATCGCCCCTGACTTGGCGGGACAATGCGACGGTGGCGGAGATGAGGGCTGCTGCGAATCTAGTGTCGCAGGCGAACAAGCTCTTCATCGATCTCACGCCGGGCTCCGGGACTTACGTGAACGAGGCCGATTACAACGAGCCCAATTGGCAACAATCCTTCTTTGGGAAGAACTATCCTCGCCTGTACCACATCAAGCGCAGGGTCGATCCTATCAATCTCTTTACGTGCCATCACTGCGTGGGTAGCGAATTCAACTGAGAATCCAGTGAAAAACATAGCGATTCCATACAAATGTTGAAATGTTACAGTACCGATTCATTGATTCAAAAATGAAAATCTAGGGTTCTTGAGATGGGGCTCCTTGGTTTCGTTCTTGGGCTCTGAATTGCCACTCTAGCAGCTGCCAAGACGGTGAAGCGAGACGGTGAGTCGATCCTCTCCACCTGCATTTTCGATTTAGACAGGGATTAAGCGACGATCTTGCCAATTCCAGTCAAGGCATTGAACGAGCTCAAGGCAGCTGGAGGATGGAAGGTTATGTATGCTGGAATGGGGAGGATCCCTATGGGGATGGAGACGCGGCATTGTGGCCGGGAATCACTTGTTCCTCCCCAAATGCCGATGGCCACGGAATTGTGAGTTTTAATACCTCTTATCACTTTGATCGTCACTTTCTTCTTTCTTTCCAGGGAGCTCTTTCAAGTGTCGATCATTGGAACGTTCCCGATCATTTCCTGGATCTCAGGAAACTGTGGGTTGGTGTGTGTTGGTTTTCGTTTACTGAGTTCTTGCGTTCTTCTCTGGCAGGGACTTGCATGGCAACAAACTCACCGGACCGATTCCTCCTCAAATAGGACAGCTGGAGAACCTTGTAACCCTGTGAGAGGAAGGGAATTCCTGCGAGATGACGGAGGTGTCCAGGGAGGGGCAATCCATGTAGGCGGCTTAAGGCGCAGGAAATATATCCTTAAGGCATAGACAAGAGCAAGTAAGACCCCATAATCGTGAATGTCTAAAATTTGAGAAGCAAATAGCCCTTGGCAATTATATGCTTGCTTCGGTTTAATTAATGTGGACCAAACTTTGTTGAATAAAAAAATTTTACGTTTCCTTCTTGAAGTGAATGTTCTGATCACTAACATTGTCTTAAGCCATTAAATTTTCAAGATTACACACCAGCATGTTTCACAGGTGTCCTGTCCTGGAAGACAAGAAAACTTCTTAGTCTAGTCAGAATATTTAATATTTTTAGCTCAGTGGTATGTCAATCAAATTGTAACAGGCAGCCTTTGAAGAAAATAAGAATATAATAAAAACTAAGACATAATTATAATCTACATTGTCTTTGTGAGGTCAACATGAGACTATGGGATGTTTATGAAAATTACATTTCGACTTTCAACATATAAGTTGCTATTCTAGGCTCCATAAAATATCTTGACCAATAATTGCATAAAACCGTCACACTTGGACCACCAAGTTTTAAGCGGACCATCCATTGTAAGTGAATAGTTCAGTAGAACATACGTCTTAAAATATCAAGTGAAAGCCACTGACATGTACTGTTAGATGCAACCACAGCTTTATGGATAGATCATCAATTCATCCTTCCTTCAGGCTGTCACGTTTGACACTTTCAATCAGAAATGGAGGTTGCTCAATATGCAGTTGTTCTGTTGATCACTCTTCTCTTCTTGGTGCTATCTTTCAAGCGTCGTTAATTTGCCTCCAGGGGCTGCCTCTTATTGGTCACATGCATCTACAAAGTATGGACCGATTATGTTTTTACGCCTAGGAGTGGTGATCTCCAGTTCGGAGCTCGCGAAAGAGGTACTAAAGATCCAGGATGCAAATTTTGCATCGAGGCCATACTTGATCATGGGGGAGTACAACTTCTACAACTTCCGAGACATTGGTTTTGTTCCGTATGGCGACTACTGGAAAAGAATGAGGAAGCTTTGCGCTACAGAGCTCTTTACTGTCAAGCGCATTGAATCGTTTCAAGGGGTGCGAACGAGAGAAATGCGTGGCGTCTTGCCTGAGCTTGTGAATGCGGCTAACTTTCAGAAGCCAATCAACATGAGCACCTCCTGACAACATATGTCTTCAATGTTGTCATGCAGATCCTGATGAGTAAGCGTTTCTTCGAGTATGGCTGAGATGAGCAGCGAGGCAAGGATTTCAAGCACATTGTGTTTGAGATCACGGAGCGGATGCTTCAATTCCACATCAGTGAGTTCGTACTGGCGTTCATGAGACGGATTGACTGGAAGATCCCAGAGATGATGAGGATACATGCGAGACAAGACAAGTTCTTTAAGAGAATTATAGACGATCACAAGGCTAGGCTCGAGTCCAAGACCTCGCAGACCATGCTGCAAAGCTTGAAAAGCGAAGGAGCCCGAGGAGAGGATTCGGTCAAAGCTATTGTCAACAAAGTCAGTTGGCTAATCTCGAATTATGCAGGAGCTTTTATCTGGAAGAGATACCAGCGCTAGTTTGATCGAAAGGACGCTGTTGGAACTCATGCACAATCCACTTGTTCTTCAAAGGCCCAGGAAGAGATTGACACTGTCGTCGGAAAGGAACGCCTTGTTGCTGAGAGAAACTGGAGTACCTTGGGCAATCGTCAAGGTCCAGCTCCGCTGCTGATTCACATGTCAACCGAAGCGTGCAAGGTTGCTGGCTATGACATTCCCAAAGAAACTCCCACATTTGTCAATTGTTATACAATTGGAAGAGATCCAGCAGTATGGATGCATTGCGATTCAAGCCGGAAAGGTTCCTTGGGAACTTGATTGACATAAAAAGCCAGGACTTTAGGCTGGGCCAAAGAATGTGTCTGGGGATGTCGAAGACTGCTCAATTGCTATTGTTTAACTTGATTCACTCTTTCGACTGGAGCTTTGTTCCTGGCAAAGGCATGGATTGTTACGAGCTCAAGGAACAAAGTGGGACTGTTCTCTGGTTGGAAACACCACTTGAGGTAGTTGTTTCTTCAAGACTCCCAAAACCTATATAATTAAACTTTTATTTTGCTTGTCAAGCTTGGCCGTCTTTCACTGAAAACAACAGAAATAACAACCAGCAGTTTTTCGTTGGGAGTCAATGAGTCCATCTATAGTGACTTGAAAGATTGTTGCATCAAGATCAAGTCAATTCAAGTGTGTTGCTCGTCAAAGTTGTGGTTGACTAGAATTCTCAAACAAGTCTCAAAGAAGCAAGCATATAAATGCCAAGGGCTATTTGCTTCTCAAATCTTCACAAATTCGACATTCACGATTATGGGGACTCTCCTTGCCTTAAGGAAATATTTGCTACACCTTAAAAACTGCATCCATTTCAAATACAAATGTTAAAATCCAACGTTAAATAATAAAAAGTTAATCTTTCTAAATTATGCTATAATTCCTCTTGAAATTCCTCCTACTTCCCACTGTGCCACTGCTTCATTATGAGCCCTTACGTAGGTTAACCTTTCCTTTTGACTCATGTTGACAGAGTTAAAGTTGGCACTTAACAACCCCTTATGCCAAGGATATGAAGTTGGTTGAGAACTGTGGAATTGTAGCTGATGGCTTGCGTTTATTTTTGACCTTTCATTTAAAACTTTTTTATTTCATTGGCTCTTTCAGTTTGAAACATTTTCTCGGAGAAAAGCTGTACAAAGAAACTTCCCACTCTTACCTTGTACATTCAATGGTCAGTTTACTTGGCAATGAAGCAGGGCGACCACAACCACAGTAGAGACGATTGGGAGGAGTTCTGTTGCAGCCTCACTCATCAATACAGTATACTTATTATACCTTTTGGTTTCATGCTTCTTGGAGACACGAGACCATGTATAAACAGTTTATGAAAAGAAATTTTTAAATAACGAGGAGATATTTGCAAGCCCATTTCATGAAATCTCAATCAGCCTAGCAGTACCTCCTTCCTAAGTCTTGGAGTGGCCACGACTTGGAGCGGAGTCTTGGTCCAAATAACAGTCCCAGCAGAGTCTCGTTCTTCCAGAGGAAATGCTTCTCCTCCCCTCTCCCCCGCAAAGCTCCAATCGAAGCTGTGAATCAAGTTGGATACCAGCAGCTGCACCGTTCGTAATCCCAGTATCATCCCCGGACAACCCCTGCGACCAGAGCCAAATGGAAGCAGCTCATAGTCCTGGCCCTTGACATCCAAGGAATTCCCCAAGAACCTCTCCGGCATGAACTTCAATGGTTCGTCCCACACGGCTGGATCCCTTCCAATGGCGTAGACGTGCACGAACGTGGTTGCGCCCTTTGGAACATCAAATCCTCCCAGCTTGCAGTCGTGAGATGCCATGCGAGGCAGAAGAGGAATTGGAGGATGGAAGCGGAAGGTTTCCTTGATCACTGCTTGCATATACTGGAGCTGCGCAATGTCGGCTTCTCCGACCAGGTGAGAATTCCCCACCACCACGTCCATCTCCTCTTGAGCTTTTCGTAGCATCTCCGGGTGGTGAAGAAGCTCCAGGATCGCCCACTCGATCACGGCGGCACTTGTGTCTGTTCCACATATAAGCTCCTGGCACATTCGAGGATATAGTTAAGAGACGTCAAATCACGAGAGGAAGAACTTACCATGCTATTGGCCTTGACACTGTCCTCGCAATATGGTTCATCCTTGAGGTACTCGAGCATGATGTGCATGAAGTCCTCCTTGCCGCTATCGACACCAAGCTTGTGCTCGTCGACTATCTTCTGCAAGAAACTATCAATCTTTGCCTGCAGCTTCTTGAGCCGCGGGATCTTCCAGTCGATGCCTCTGAGCCACGGCGGGACAAACTCGCTGATGTGAAAATCGAGCGCCTGGTCTGTGATGGACAGCAGGAGGCTCTTAAACTCCCGGGCATCGTCATCCATGGTTGCCTCATCTCCCACAAACGTGTAGAACCTCTTGCTCATCAGGATCCGCGTGATTACATTGAACAGGCATGTCGTGACCATGTCTCTCATGTTGACGGGCTTGCAATCGAGAGAAGAATCCAAGAGCGCCGATAGCATCTCATGGAGCTCCTCTGTTCGTACCCACAAGAAAGAATCGATGCGCCTGATTGTGAAGAGCTCCGTGGCACACAGCTTCCGTATGTTCTTCCAGTAATCGCCGTAAGGCGCAAATCCCATGTCAAGGAAGTTGTAGAAGCTATACTCCCCTGGCATGAAATACGGCCTGGAAGAGAATGTAACGTCCTGGGCTTTGAAGAGCTCCTTGGCCAGATGGGCGCTCGCGACCACCACGGATGGCACCATTCCCAGCCGGAGAGAGAAGATCGGTCCATACTTGTTGGACAGTGTAAGGAGAGAGAGATGGGGTTTCCTCCCAAAGAGGTGGAGGTGTCCGATCAATGGAAGAGACCTACTGAGTGATACTGGCAAGTTGAGACGGCGGTGCCCTCCACCTGGAATTCCCCATACAAGAACATAGATGAAGAACACAAGAGCAATCGAAACTCCATGTCGATTGATTAGGAATTACGCCACATTGATATCATTTTATAAACCGCTGAGCAACAACCAGTCTCAAGGCTTGAACCATCAATAGTTATTCGAAGCGAAGCAGGCGAAGTTTGCCTGGCTCACTGCTTTCCTGGACGATCCATTTGATGACAACGAGGTTGCTGGGGGAGCTCTCGCGTCATCGTATATCGACACTGTTCATAGCCTCTGCTATGGAACCGCATCGCTTGCGGAAGTGCCGGATATCGAGCCTGCCACGATCTGATGAAGGATTTGAGGTCTCTGTTGAAGCCGGAGCTGTTCAAGCTCACGGTTTCCACTGTTGAGGGCTGGGCAAGAAGCATCTTGAGTGACGACTTGACGCAGGACTACAAGCTCTAGGTACCGGAGGAAGAACGTCTTACTCATCTACGTAATGGGTGCTTTGTTTGACGATGAGGATGTTGAATCCCTGGATTACATCAGTGCTCAGAACGCTATGCTCGATCATATGTGGATGGTGAACGACGTCTTCTCGTTTCTCAGGGAGTTTTACAAGAATAAGTTTAACAATCTTCGCGGTGCTGCTGCTCACCGATCCGAGCGTGCAGACGTTTCAGGACCCCGTGAACACTACGTGGAGGATGATCCAGGACAAGGAAGACGAATTCATCTTTTACCGCGATATCTTTGCCGCGAATGCGTCCCGGAATGGGAAGAAAGATTTCCTGAAGTTCCTGGATGTTCTCTCCTGCGCAATCCCAGCGAATCTGGTGTTCCACTATGCGAGAAGCCGCTACCATGGCATGGATAACCCCCTACTGGGTGGAGGCACGTTTCGTGGGACTTGGATTCTGGATCCAAAGCGCACCATCATCGTGTTGGGCCCGAAAAAATGTGGTGGCAAGTTCAAACAAACTCAACCAGATCCAAAATTTATTAAACCTGATATGAAAATTGATGTACTTCCATATATTTTTCTCTTAGTAGTGTGGCCTTTACTATGCAGTTCGCTGCGTCGCATGTAAACTAGCTACGGACGAAGTGAAAATCAATGTTTCATATGCATGGCTATTTGGCATTTTAATTCTTGCAAACTACTACAGCCACGAGAATGCTTGAACAGCCACGAGAATGCTTGAGTGTTAAATTTTTTGACGCAATTCGGGATCACCGAACACTTTGTCATGTATGTAGTTCGCCCAGCCGAGTCATTCCTCACGCGGTGCACATATGGAAGTGGGGTGCTTGGGTATGGCAGCGGTATTCTATGCTCAGTCTTAGACTAGAACCTTAGAATCCAAGTCTTCCAAGAGACTGACTACACTTGAACATTTCAACATATTCCTTCATTCATATATTGTTTACAAGCATGAGACCGATATAAGTTGCTTTTCTACATTGCCGGCTCCATAAAATATCTTGATTAATAATTGTCAAACTTGGACCACTAAGTTTTAAGCACAGAATAGTTTAGAAAGAAAATAAGAACATACGTGTTGAAATATCAAGTCAAAGCCACTCACATGGACTGTTAGATGCAACCAATGTTTATATCGATAGATCATCGATCCATCCTTCTTTCAGGCTGTCACGTTTGATACTTTGAATCAGTAATGGAGTTTGCTCAATACGCAGTTGTTTTGTTGATCACTCTTCTCTTCTTGGTGCTATCTTTCAAGCGTCGGCTTAATTTGCCTCCATCTCCATGGGGGCTGCCTCTTATCGGTCACTTGCATCTCTTGGGAAGAATGCTACACCTTTCATTCCAGGCACTCTCCACAAAGTATGGACCGATTGTGTTTTTACGCCTGGGAATGGTACCAGCTGTGGTGATCTCCAGTCCGGAGCTAGCGAAAGAGGTACTAAAGATCCAGGATGCAAATTTTGCCTCGAGGCCATACTTGATCATGGGGGAGTACAACTTCTACAACTTCCGAGACATTGGTTTTGTTCCATATGGCGACTACTGGAAAAGAATGAGGAAGCTTTGCGCTACAGAGCTCTTTACTGTCAAGCGCATTGAATCGTTTCAAGGGGTGCGAACGAGAGAAATGCGTGGCGTCTTGTCTGAGCTTGTGAATGCGGCTGACTATCAGAAGCCAATCAACATGAGGCACCTCCTGACAACATATGTCTTCAATGTTGTCATGCAGATCCTGATGAGCAAGCGTTTCTTCGAGTATGGTGAGCATGAGGCTAAGATGAGCAGTGAGGCCGAGGATTTCAAGCACATTGTGTTTGAAATCACCGAGCAGATGCTTCAATTCCACATCAGTGAGTTCGTACCGGCGTTCATGAGACGGATTGACTGGAAGATCCCAGAGATGAAGAGGATACATGCGAGACAAGACAAGTTCTTGCAGAGAATTTTAGACGATCACAAGGCTAGGCTCGAGTCCGAGACCTCGCAGCCCATAGATTTCATGGATATCATGCTGCAAAGCTTGAAAAGCGAAGGAGCCCGGGGAGAGGAATCGGTCAAAGCTATTGTCACGGTAACAAAGTCAACGCTAGTAATGTTGGCTAATCTCGAATCATGCAGGAGCTTTTATCTGGAGGAGATACCAGCGCTAGTTTGATTGAATGGACGCTGTTGGAACTCATGCACAATCCACTTATTCTTCAAAAGGCCCAGGAAGAGATTGACACCGTTGTCGGAAAGGAACGCCTTGTTGCGGAGAGCGACTTTGACAAACTGGAGTACCTTCAGGCAATTGTCAAGGAAGCGTTCCGCATTCATCCTCCAGCTCCGCTGCTGATTCACATGTCAACCGAAGCGTGCAAGGTTGCTGGCTATGACATTCCCAAAGGAACTTCCACATTTGTCAATGGTTATGCAATTGGAAGAGATCCGGCAGTATGGGAGGATGCATTGCAATTCAAGCCGGAAAGGTTCCTTGGGAACTCGATCGACGTAAAAGGCCAGGACTTTGAGCTGCTTCCATTTGGTGCGGGCCGAAGAATGTGTCCGGGGATGTCACTGGGATTGAAGACTGCTCAATTGCTATTGTTTAACTTGATTCACTCTTTCGACTGGAGCTTTGTTCCTGGCAAAGGCATGGATTGTTACGAGCTCAAGGAACAAAGTGGGACTGTTCTCTGGTTGGAAACACCACTTGAGGTTGTTGTTTCTTCAAGACTCCCAAAACCTATATAATTAAACTTTTATTTTGCTTGTCAAGCTTGGCCGTCTTTCACTGAAACAACAGAATCAACAACCAGCAACGTTTTTCATTGGGAGTCAATGAGTCCATCTTTAGTGACTTGAAAGATTGTTGCATCAAGATCAAGTCAATTCAAGTGTGTTGCTCGTCAAAGTTGTGGTTGACTAGAATTCTCAAACAAGTCTCAAAGAAGCAAGCATATAAATGCCAAGGGCTATTTGCTTCTCAAATCTTCACAAATTCGACATTCACAATCGCAGGAATTCCCTTCCTCTCATTGCATGCCCTATCCAAGCAGTTTGGACCAAATCTCTTCATGAAACTGGGAACTGTGCCAGCGGTTGTCATCTCAAGCTCACTTCTTGCCAAAGAGGTGTTGTTGCAAGATCAGATATTTGCTACATCCTCCTTGGAGACTATGGCTTGTAGTGAATCCTTTCTCTCCACATCAGCACCATGTAGGATCCTAGGTCTCATAGTATACAGAGCTCTTCTTCGCCCATGAGTATGAGGTAGAGTGAATGGGAAAGGGATCTGAGCAATCCTTGGAGACTTGATAGCATTTGGGACAATTGGGCAGACTGGTGGGGCTGCATTGGCTTCCAATTCAGTCGATGTCACGTGGCAGTGGATGCCGCTCCACCTAAATTCAATGGGAAGATACCTGGAATACCAAATTTCAAATTGTACATGGACGAGCATGGTCTATGGATGATGACAACAGGGAAGAAGCCATAGATGAAGAGAAAGCTGCTTGGAAGAAGAAGGATTGTAGGGCATTGGGGAAGTTCCATATTGTTAGGTGCCAGCTTTGACTATGTGGTCAACGTCATATATTAAAGCATGTTAGGGTAAAGGACTTAACCTACCCTAGGGTTCACAGTGGAGCGGCGGCGCAGTGGAGCTTTTGAGGTAGCTCGGGGGTGGTTGGGTGGTGAGGGACCTCAAGAGGTGGCATAGTATAGTCTAGGGCAACTAGATTTCTATCTTTTTGCGCTGGATCATAACATTAAGTTGGTTGCGATGACCGACCAAGCTGAACGCTGGAATCCTATTGTCGATGGTGGTGCCGACGATAGTGCTGACGAAGCTGTGGAGATTTGGACCATTCAAGATGTGGTTCATGAACTGCAAGCCCTTAATCGCAATCAGCAAGAGATGCAAGACGAGATGCATGGCATGATGGATACCATGCATAGGCATGTTGAGGCACTCGAGGCTGGACGGGGTAGCGCTCCAAGTAAGCCTTCTTTGGTAGATCGACTCAAAATTCCAACTTTTTCCAGTGATGGTGGTGTGGACGAATGTCTTGCTTGGCTAGCCAATATGAAGAAGTTCTTGGCTGCTAGAGGAACTCCAGATGCAGAGGCTTTAGTGGCTATTTTGATGGTTTTGCGTGATGCGGGTCTTCGATGGTGGAATAGGCTTGAGGAGTCCCGTGTTGCGGATAAGAAACCACCAGGGATGAGTTTGAGGCTGCTTTCTGTTTACATTTTGCCCCTCATCACGACGTGGAGAATGCTCGTACAGAACTTCGACATTTCCAGCAAGGGAAAATGACACTCGGGGACTATATTGAGAAGCTTACTCGCTTGATTAGTCGTGTTCCAACGAAGGATCTGGATCAGAACAAGTCCTACTTCATTGATGGCCTACATAGTGAGAGCATGCGGCAACACTTGCGTCATTCTCAGCCTACAAAGAGTTTGGAGGAGCTCTTTGATGCAGCTCGTCGACTTGACAATGATAAGCACAAGTCTTGCAAGCGTTCGCGGAGTCCTTCTATCGAGAATCGTCGTGATAATCGCCATGGACACAAGGATGGGAACAAGCATCACAAATTGAAGTCGGTGGTGACTACTTCAGATGCAAAGGGGTCCAAGAAGTAGAAGTTCTTTGTGAAGAATTATAGACAAGGTTGTCATCATTGTGGCGAACTTGGACACTACAAGGCTGATTGTCCGCAGTTGAAGAACAAGCAGCAGGATAAGAAGAATGGCCAATCTTCTTCTCACAGTAAGTCAGATACTAAAAAGTTGCAAACTTTGCAGCGTGAGGATGAGGAGAATGACCATTCCGGTCGGAGGAAGCGACTTTCAATCGTTGCTCGTCAACTCAATTGTGTGTGGAACAAAATGGAGCTTGAGGATATGCATGAATCAGCTTTAATGCTGGAGGGCGTGTTCTGTGGCGATCCAGTGCGGATTTTACTGGATAGTGGGAGTGATGACAACTTTGTTTCGGCAAAGTTTGTTGCGGAGCATGGCCTGGTCACACGTGGAGTTCTTCCATACACAATGGAAGGTGCAGCCATCTCTACTTAACATTTCGATGCTTGTGTCGAGGGGCTGGAAGTGTTGGTTAGCAAAACCACACTTGTGGAGACTTTTTATCTCGTGGATATTCATCGTGTGGATCTCATTCTTGGGATGCCATGGTTGGTGAAGGTGGATCCAGAGATAAAGTGGAGTATTAAGCGTATCTCGCTGGAGTATGGTGGCGTTAAAGATGTGTGGTTTGGCGAGGGCGTTCAGCCACTACTTGTTATGCTCTCTGCTACATCTTTGAAGCGGGCTTGTCGTAATGGAAAAGCACTTTCAAGTTACTTGCTGTTTGTTTGTGACTTGGGGGACCAAGGCACGTGTGGGGGAGAAGCAGTAGTACAGGATGTACTTGACAAATTTTCTAATATTTTTCCATCTGAACTTCCTCATGGATTACCTCCGTTACGAGGTGTGGAGCATGGGATTACATTGGAGCCGGGGACGCGGCCAATTTACCAGCATCCATTTCGGTTAAGTTATGTGGAGGAGCAAGAAGTTCAACGACAAGTCAAGGAGTTACTTGAGTTTGGATTTATTCAGCCAAGTAAGTCTCCGTTTGGTGCTCTGGTCTTGCTTGTGAAGAAGAAGGATGGTTCAATGCGGATGTGTATTAACTACCGTGCTTTAAACAAGAAGACAGTGAAGGACAAGATGCCGATGCCACGTGTGGATGATATCCTAGACAAGCTTGGTGAAGCACGAGTGTTTACCAAGATTGATCTGAGGAGTGGATATCATCAGATTGCAATGGATGATGCATCTATCTTCAAGACGGCATTCAACACAAGCTTCGGACATTTTGAGTTTACCGTTATGCCGTTTAGTTTGACGAATGCACCGGCCACATTTACTCGGTTGATGACGGAGGTATTTGGGTGTTATCTTCATGAGTTTGTGGAGATTTTCTTGGACGATATTCTTGTTTTTAGTAAGAATATGGAGGAGCATAGGGTGCATTTGCGCAAGGTTCTTTTGTTACTTTGAGATAGCAAACTTTATGCGAAGAAGAGCAAATGTGAATTTGCAAAGTCGGAGGTGGAATATCTAGGCCATATTGTGATATCTAAGGGTGTCAAGACAGATCCAAGGAAGGTGGCTGTGGTGGAAAACTAGCCTACACCAACTACAGTGGCTGAATTGTGCAGTTTTCTTGGTATGGCTAGTTACTACCGACGTTTCTAGCATAATTTTGCAGAGGTGGCTATTCCTTTGACGCAATTGTTACGTAAGAATGTGCCATTCAAGTGGAAGACACCACAAGAGGAGAGTTTTGTGGCGTTGAAACGATTATTGAGCGAGGCTCCAGTGCTTCACATTGCTGATCCATCAAAACCTTACGAGGTGACATGCAATGCGAGTGGTTATGCACTGGGAGGAGTTCTCATGGAAGAGGGACAGCCTATTACATATGAGAATCGAACTTTGAATTCTGCGGAGCAATGCTATTCCACATATGAGCAGGAGTTACTCTCTATTGTTCATGCTTTACGGATGTGGTGGCATTATCTTTATGGTGCAGTGTTCGTAGTGTTGACAGATCACAAACCACTTGTGTATCTTTTCACACAGAAGGAGTTGAACACTCAGCAAGCTTGTTGGATGGTCAAACTCATGGAGTTTGGGGAGTTTTCTATTGAGCATCGTCCGGGAAAATCGAATGTGGTGGCAGATGCTTTATCTCGTGTTCGTCATGTGACGACGTTACAAACACGCTTTTGTCATCATTTGAGTAAGGTGGTCAGCAAGTTTGGACAGTTGGGTGAGCATGCTCAGGCTCAGGATGCTGAGGTGGCCTCTTTGCGAGACCAGATGGAAGCTCCTTTCTCATTGGTGGATGGGATTCTCTACTACAATGGCTGTGTATATTTGCCACGGGTGGATGCATTAATTACTCAAGTTTTATTCCACTATCATGATCGTCCAAAGGCCGGTCATTTTGGGGGGAAGAAGACGTATGAGTTGATTAAGTGCAACTTTTATTGGAGGAATATGAAGGCTGATATCCTTAAGTATTGTAAATCATGCGAGCTTTGTCAGCGGGTTAAGGTGCCACGGGAGAAGCCGGGGGGACTTTTGCAACCTTTACCTATTCCTCAGAGCCGTTGGTGTAGTATCTCTATGGACTTCATCACTTATTTGCCACGAACACAGAGGCAAAAGGAGCAAGTATGGGTCATAGTGGATCGGTTGATGAAGTATGTGCGGTTGTTGGCTCTTCGGAATACTGACACTGCCTCAGACTTGGCTGCGGTTTACTTGGAGAAGGTTTTTCCTGATTTTGGTTTGCCAGAGGACATCATTAGTGATCGAAATTCAAAGTTCACCAGTGGATTTTGGAAAAGCTTTGCAAAGGCTATGCAAGTGACTTTGAAACTCTCGAGTGGAGATCATCCTCAGACAGATGGGCAAACCGAGCGTGTGAATCAGGTGGTGGAGGATATGCTACGTTGTAGCATTGGTCAAAGGCAAGGATAGTGGGATTTATATCTTCCGTTGGTGCAATTTGCTTACAACAATAGCCAACACAGTGGAACCAAACTAAGTCCTTACTTTGCCATGTTTGGAAGGCATCCTCGAACAGCAATGGAGTTGGGATTGCATTTGAGTAAGGACGTTCAAGATAAGCTTGATTCCGAGGCAACTGATCTGGCCACAGAACTTGATGAGATCTTGGTGGTGTACAAACGGAATTT